TACTTACTACTAACTAAAACCTAAAAACCAAACCAACTACTCGTAGTTACCCTACCCCCCTCCTCTCTCTCTCTCTCTCTCTCTCTCTCTCAATTCTGTTTTCTCTTTGTAACTTGGTTGTTGGTCTCTCTCTGAATTCTGTTTTCTCTTTGTAACTTGGTTGTTGGTTGACTTTTGGTGTTGTCGAGGCTCCCTATTTTATAAAGAACAATAAGAAACTGGCTACTATCTGCTTTTTCATATCTTGAGAATAGGTTTTCCATAATCCTATTTTAACTAAAGCAGTTCTACTCAGTGGGAAGCATACTACCTCATAGTTGCGCTATTAAACCATGCCTTGTAGCCAATACTTTCGTTGCCACTACTAAATTGCCTACTCCAAGTCCAACAATATAAATGTTGAACATGCCATGTTCTCGATAATCCTTCGTAATTAAATTAAAGTGCTTAAAAGAAGAAGAAAGTGTTAAATTTATGTGAGGTGTATCTGAGAAATGTAGAGGTGGGCATCCACCTTTCAATTCTCAAGACAAACAGTAGCGATGAACTGTGATGTGTGTATGAATCGGTGAAAAACATTCAGGGAAAGTGCAATTGATCTCCACTGTACATCTTATAATTAGAGAATGGATGTTCGACTGAAACTGATGCTGTGTATGCTATACCTGACAATAGATATAGAAGTTCTATAAAAAATTTGTATCCTTGCTGGAGATTGCTTAAATACTTGGGGCCTACATGAGAGCTTGGAAATTCCATTTCCTGGTCTTAATTTCAAAGAATATTATTTAGTGCACAAACTTGCAGGTGCAAATAGAGGTAGAGAATGATGCAAACTATTCATTCCCTTGTAAAGTTTTTCCACTTTCATCTAGTATGGAGTTGGTTTTAATTTCTTTATTGTGTTCTTGCTTTCTTGGTTGTATGATTTTCTCCCATTTCCTTTGAAACCTGATTCTATAGCTGCAGTTTTGCTGTCTACACTTGTTAGTTTCTTCCTACTAAGCAGATGATTATCATAACTGCAAAGAAAAATATGCTAATGGAATGACTTTAGTGCAAAACATTATTGTTCTCATGAACTTTTCGTGTTATGTTATGCACTGGTTTTTACTTGCTTACCACTGATTTTTTTCCCCTTAATTTATGATATTAGTACTTATAGTTTTGTTTCCTGGGAATTTTTATTCTATAATTTATTTTACTTTTTTTTTTGTGTGTGTGTGTTTTATTCATTCCTGTGATTGAAGGGGTCCACAGTAGGGTAGGGTTTACTGTATTCCTACTATGATTTACTCATGGCCCATTGGAATTATCACCAACTCTTGCAATTGCACAGTGATCAAGAGGGACCCACCAGTAAAAGACTTAATTATAGTATCCTTTCGTTTGAAGGGGTGTGTGTTGCAACTAATTCTTGATTTTATCTTGTAGCAGATTTTAGTGTAGAAGGTGATGGTCTTCAAGGTCATGCACTTCATGAACAAGGTTTTGCATACTGTTGGTCTGGTGCTCGTGCCAATGTTGGAATAACTCGGGGGAGATACTGCTTTGGATGCAAAATCATTTCGGAGCAGCCAGTTGAGATGCAAGATACGTCCACTGATCAGCAACATGTAGCCCGTGTTGGAATTTCAAGAGGGGATGACGAAGTGGGGAATCTTGGAGAAAGTGGTCACAGTTTTGGGTTTGGTGGTACAGGAAAATTTTCAACTGCTGGAAAGTTTATAGATTTTGGTAAGAAGTTTGGTGTTGGTGATACAGTTGTATGTGCTGTGGATCTAGAGAGCAAACCATTAGCTTCAGTTGGTTTTTCGATGAATGGAAAATGGTTGGGTATTGCCAGGCTGTTTGATGCTGGTCCTAAGGGTCTGGGTGTTATTATGTCTTCATTGAGAAGGATAGCTTGGGGATCAGCATTGTTTCCTCATGTTTTGTTGAAGAATGTTGTTGTTCAATTGCAGTTCAGTATTGAAGATGGACTGGTCCCTGAAGAAGGTTACAAGCCTTGGGATTTGGCACTTCAGGATGGTAATGCAATAATGGGTCCTGTTTTCTCTAATCCCAAGGATTGTGAGGTATTGATGATGGTGGGTTTACCTGCTTCTGGAAAAACTACATGGGCAGAAAAATGGGTCAAGAAACATCCTGAGAAACGTTATGTTGTCCTCGGTACAAATCTGGCACTGGATCAAATGAAGGCATGTGATTCCATTTTGATTGCCTTTGAGGCTAACCAGGGTCTTTGTCTTATATTTTGTTAATTGCTAACTTATTGCGGAAGGAAAATGAAAAAAATATCAAAGCACTTCCGATAATACCTGTATGAATCATGTAGGTGTTCCAGATGCTTTGAATCTGCAAACAGTGGATGGAACGGCCATTTTATTTCTACCTTCAGGTATTTACTAAAATATCCTCACGGTATAATTGTCATCAGAAATGAATGGCTACTCCAGTCACTACTAGGAGATTCCGAATTTCTGGACAACTTCTATATTCAGGTGTTCCAGGTACTGATTTGATAATTTCCCATTGTGTATTATTGCGATTTTGAATTTTCTCTTTTGTGTCATATCATGGATGATGCGTGCTTTCTTCAGGTACCAGGGTTACTGCGTAAACAAAATTATGGGGAGCGTTTTGAACGCTTGATGGATCAAGCAACTGGAATATTCAATACAGTGTTGGCCAGGGCTGCTAAGACGCCTCGCAATTACATTCTTGATCAAACAAATGTCTACAAGAGTGCTCGTAAACGTAAACTGAAAGCTTTCATGAACTATCGGAAGGTAGTTCTGGAAATTCGATTATCTACCTTATCCCAGACCCTTTTTTATTCTTTTGTTACTTGTCATTTTTAAATTTCCTTTATCGTTACAGTACTAAGCAATGACATATCATAGAGTGGACTACTTTTTCTTAATTTCTTGGAACCAGATTGCAGTTGTTGTATTCCCTACAGCAGATGAGCTAAAGTTCCGTGCTGACAAACGATTCAAAGAAATGGGGAAGGAAGTGCCTGCGGATGCAGTGAACGACATGTTAGGTACATCCCTTACAGAATGGTACTATTAATTATTTTTGATGGTTAATTTTTATTCATGTTACTTCTTGATATGGAAATCTACTATCCAGTTTCTTTATTAGTTCTTATTTGTGTTCTCTTTTACTTTTTTTTCTTATTTCAGATAATTATTGGTCTATTGGATTGTTTAAGATGTTGCTAACTCTAGATTTGTTTCAGCTAACTATGTTTTACCCATGAGCAACGACATGCCTGGTTCAGATGAGTTCTTTGATGAGGTAATCTTGTTGGGTTTTAATGTGTTAACATGATTGTTTTGCTTGCTATAATTTTATGATAACAAGTTTATCCATTCTGAAGGTTATATTTTCGGAACTGAATAGAGGAGATGCTCAAAGAATTTTGGACGAAATGAAGCGTGAAGTGCGTTACAATGCCAATTCACTGGCAAAGAGCAACATATCTCCTTATTCTCATGAAAGTTCAATCCAGTCACACAGTTCTTTTATGGGATCTGTAACAGGTGTCTTTCTGTTTGCATGGTTTGTTTCCTGTGATGTCAAGTAGTCCTTTTATCTACACAGATAATTCTCTTATGCAGATGGCCTGTGTTTCAGGAACTGGTCAGAGGCAAAATTTTCATTCACCTCTCTCATATGCAAGTGAATTTCGGAGCCCCCAACAGGTAATTGAAAATTTGGAACTTTTTTTTGCGGGTTCCAACTAGAAATTCAAATTCACGTGACTTGCATTCATTACTTACTTTATGTAACTAGAATTTAAGTTTGCTTCCATGTTAATGAGGTGCTAGTGATCTTAAAAATTCTGATACTGTTAGGTTGTATGTTGAGTTGATTGTTCCAGTCTTGTGCAGCACTTATGGAATATGTTATTCATCTGGTTATTCACTCATGGACCTGTTTGTACTAGTTGGTGATTGATATTTGAAGGTCTTGTTGATTATTATTATTATTTTTGAATGGGGTGCTTTTATTATAATGATAATAGATGCATGGTAAAATAAAAAGATGGGGGAAATCTACATGTCGGGTGCTTGATACATGAATTGGAAGTCTAGGGCTATGCATTCCCATGGGTACAAAAACGGTATGGTAACACCAAGGGCAAGGAAAGGCAGGTAAGTAGGTGTTGAGGTGGAGGTGAGTTGTGCGAAGCTAGTGGGTGTAACCTTCGTCAGCAACAGGGGTATGGTGAGACTACCCAATATGGTGTGTCCGTCAGCAGCCCCCTCTGCGAGCAACGTGGTTGACCGCCAGATGGACATGCTGGTATACCTCGGATGTTCTTGTATATATAGAATATAAAGTTAAATAGGTCCACTCTAATATTCTGTTCTAATCTTATTCTAACTTCCCACTTCCCCTTGCCTCGCCCAATGTCCCCCACGCCCTCCTCTTTTCTTCTGCAGCTTTCTCTTCCCCTTTGATATATTTTTTAGTTTGCATGACTTAGGTCCGCATTCTACTTCAAGAACATTTCCGATGGTACTGTTGCTTTTTGGCATATTGCAGTACACCTAAGGTTCTCTTACAACTGCATACTTTATCCTTAGGTTCAATGACATCCAAATCATACTGACTGCCATGCCATCCGTTTTATGGTATATGCTCTCTTGGAGCTCTATTCTCTTACATGCTGCATTTGTGTACACAAAAATCTAGTTGCTGGCTTGCATTGTCTTATGATTAGCAGGTGCATAGATACATTGAAAGATAATGGAATTGTAGAAAGTTACTTAAGTGGGAGGGACATTTGTGGGCACAGTCAGGAGGGGGTTTTTACCTTTGCCTTTGCCATCTTTCTGTGTTCTGCAATCGTTTTGAAGTTCATCATGACTCCAAGGTTCTAATACCCTGAAGTGGGGCACATAATGTGTTGTCTGATCTTTCACCAACATAACTTCTTCACTTGGTTCAAAATTATTTCCACTTGGTTGTAGTTCTATTCGTGCTGAGAATATGATCTTAACTCAAAGCAGAAGGTTTATGCTTTCTTTATATCAGGTGGATTTAGAAATGGAGATATCTATTTCTTTGGTGAGTTGGAATACAACTTTTTAAAATGCAAATGCAATGGATTTCCTCACATGATGGAAGTTCCTGCTACATTTCACATATGTTTAATTTGATGTTAACAACTTTCTTGAAGAAATGGAAACTAAGAGGCTAACAATAAGTAAATGCTTGCTCCCTGTGCCCAATGCTTCTGGAAGAGAAGCTATCTTATCGATAATTGCTTTTTTATGAATGATTTTAGAGATAATGTGTACTTAGAGATTGTTAAAAAAAAGTCCTGCAAAGGATTCTGATATCCTCAGTTAATATGGTTTAGCAGAAACGAAATTGATCTATCTTTCTTTCTAATCAGAATGGTGTGACAGTTGCTTTACTTCCCAATATTTTAAAAAATAAAATAAAATTGCTTTACTTTCCCGCTATTTCTTATCTAACTATATTCTCTAGGAGACCAATTCCATTGTCCAATGTGAGTCCTGCAAAGGATTCTGATTATCAGTTGATATGGTTTAGGAGAAACAAAATTAATATATCTTTTGTTTTAGTAAAAATGCTCTGATAGTTGCTTTACTTACAGCGATTTCTCACGTAACCATTTTCTCTACAAGGCCAATTTCATTGTCCAATGTGATCTCTATTGTGCATTCGTGCCATTCCATCGTACTGCTAATTGATGATAAACAAGAGAGCTGGTTACCATGAGAAGTGGGTATCACCATGGAAGCCATGGCCCGGAAAATACCAAGTTTATGCTACTCTATTGTGATACCTTATACTTCGTGGAATTCACCTCATACGAATCTCTCAGCTTGGAAACCAGCTTTTAACCTAGAAAGATCCATGAATGTCCAATAAACAAGAATCTCATATCTTGTACATTGTACCTCGTGCCTATTGAAAACCACAAAAGACCTTACCAATGCCCCAGTCTCAGATTTAAACCAAGAGAAGCCCATGAATACTCAACAAACCAGTACTTTAGGGTCTAGGCCCTTTATTATAGACTAACCAATGGGTTCCGCTGCCTGAACTATATTCTAGTCCATGACCAGAGGACCTGGCCTGGCCTGGCCCCCAATATAGCCCATGACTGGACCTTTCATCAACATCAAGTTAACTTTAAAAACCCTAAAACAAGGCCAGCCTACTAAAATCTCCAGACTCATAACCAAAATGAACCAGGCCCTTTATTTTCTTTTGACGAACAACCTAGGAGGAGATTGGAACGAGATTAACCAAAAAAGGGGTGATAGCTTCCTGAAAGTTGGGTTATCACCATTTTAGTCGATCATTCCATGTATGGGGAATGTGAAACACTCGTAGATCAGCTCTGATTGGACGATTTACACCCATTGATCAGACCTTAGGGTTATTGCTGTTTGGGCAACTGATGTATGGCGTTCTTCACACAAATTTCTTGCAGGCTCTAGGAAACATCTGGATCCTTTGCAATTTCTTGTAGCTGCTCAATGGACGAAATTTTCAATCTCAAAATTTTCAATATTAAATGCTTTTGAGGCCCTAACTAATTTGATTGATGACCCAGATTCATGGATCTTTTCACAACAAGGCACACTGATTAACAAATAGATGGCAAATAAAGCTTGTGGATCAAATAGTATGGTATGGATTCCAGCATCCATTAAACCCTATCTCAGCCTACTCAACGAAAGACTGGATGGCAAATAAACCCTAGCCAATCCCGCCGAAACACCTCAACAGGACACGGATAAAAACTTATGCATTAGTGCCCAAATCATACCTGATAGACTAGCCTCATCCAATGCCCTTATATCGTATCACTAAAACCAAAACCAGTATCAGACCTTTCACCTTCCATCTTTCTGCCAAGCTCCCAAACTGTTCCGAACTGAAAACAATCCTGTACCCTGATCAATATACTCTCTCGTTTCAGTAGATTAAGAAGACAAACCAACCAAGACACGGGCTTCTGCCAAATGACCAAAAAAGCCCCAACCTTCAATCACAGCAATGGCTCGGTCCCCCTTGCAAGAACCACAATCAGTGGCTCTTCGACTTTGGAAAACATCAAGCCGCCAAAAAATGATAATACATCAGATTGGAGAAAATTGAATTCACAGATAGTTCCATAAGTTGTTATATTTATCCTCCACAGATAGTTCTATTAGTTGTTATAGTTATCCCTCCCCAATTGTTGAAAATTGAATACCATGTGGTGCACGGTCGAAATGGGCTACATAATGCTTGATCAGACTAGAACACTAGGCAACCACAGTTCCAGGTAAAGATTAATCAATCTCCTATGCAGCAAAACTGGCAACCCCTCCTACATACTCGAGTAGTACTTAATCCTCTAGAAACTTTGGCCCACCAACCTGTGTGTTAAACTGCACCATCCCTAGGATCCAAAATGTAACGCCTTCACCCCTTTATCCCTCCTCATTCAAATCCAGCAGATGGGCCAGCTTTTACGAAGCAGATGACTCAATAGAATCAGACTTTGCATTATGTCTGCGGGATTTAATACTGAGCTGCTGGAAGAAAGAATTGCCAGGTCTGAGGATCAGATACCAGGGTTAGGGCCCATGGGCCTTGCATATGATGCCAGCTTGGATGACACTAATCGACGTATTCAGGCAAACAACAGTTTTTCATTCAATCAGACTTTGCATTATGTCTGGGGGATTTAATACCCAGCTGCTGGAAGAAAGAATTGCAGATCTCAGGATCAGATACCAGCTATGTTAGGCCTTTCATACGATGCCAGCTTGGATGACACTATCGATATTTTCAGGCAAAACAACAATGAGAGCAAGAATATGAAAAGATGATAAAGAGGCAAGAGGGAGTGGAAGAAAATGGTGTTTGAAATTAACTATGATAGATTGAAAACCCAAGCTCGTGCCTGAGTTTCAGCTTTGGCGTGCCTGAGTTTCGACAGCTTTGGCATGCAATAGACATAACCAAGTTTTGCAATTAAACTTCTATCTTGGAATTTAAGAGGATCACATACCTCTTCCAAAATAAGGGTCATTCAAAAACTTGCCCAAAGTTATGATGACCCTGATGTGTTGGTTATTATTGAAAGAAAAAAGAAGCCTAGTTTAGGCAAGATTAGATCAGTCTGGAGCGGAGGACCCATTTACTGGAATATTGGATGGTATTGAGGGGCTGTTGGTGCCTCAGCAGGGATATGGGTCACTGGGGACCATTGTAGCTTAGTACAAGAAGATTTACTTGGTACAAATTTTACTATTTCCACCATCGTCAGAGGTCATCCAGCGACTTCATATGGCTTTTTACCCTTTACAGCTGTATATGGACCCAATAGACCTATCTTTATGGGTGGAACTAGATACGTTGTGGATTTAATGCTCGCTTGATGTCTGGGCAAGTGTCACTCTGTTATTCTTATAGAACCTTTGGGGACAAATTACCGCTGGCACAGAAGGGTGGATTCATCGACTTCCCTCGTAATGGGGCACATTTTGCATGATTGAACAATTGTCAAAAACCCATACTAGAGGTTCTTGGTATTTAATGAGTTGGAAACTCAATATCCCTTGATCAAGAGCCTTACCCCAGCCAATGACCATATTCCTATTTTGCTGAACACTGCTTCGACCATTGGAGGCCCCAAGCCATTCCATTTTGATCTCATGTGGTTGGAAGAAAAAGCCTTCCCAAGTTGATTCAAGAGGGGTGGTCTTTTTTCTGTTACGGGGTGGGCATGCCTCAAGCTATTTCCAAAGATGATGAAAGACGAGTTCAAAGCCTCGGATCATCAAAGCTTTTGGCTATATTGAATCCAAGAAGGATGAATGAATTACATATGGAAATCTGAGAGGTTGATTTGCTAGAAGAAAACAGGATCTGAGTTGAAGAGAAACAAGCCATTAAAATTAGAGCCATTGCCGAATATCAATTACTCCTAAAAGAAGAGAAAATATTTTGGTTACAAACCTAAGGAAAATAGAAAAAAGAAGGCGACCTGAACATGGAGTTCTTACATGAAACAACAAGTAGTTGAAGGTGAAATAACTCCATCCACTGTATTTCAGTCAAATGCAAATTTTATGAAGGAGTTGAATGAGGTTGAGCAAGCAATAGTAGCTTCTTCAAGGACCTATTCTCCTCTAGAAGGCTATGGAGACCTAAGTCAGATGGTGTGGGTTTCAATTGGATCTCAGGAACACAGGAAGCCTTGCTTTGAACTGGAAGAGAGAAAAATGCGGTGTTTGCATTGACAAGTGATAAGGACAATACAGATTCCCTATGGCATTTTTTCAAGATTTTTGGGATCTATGTGAGATGAAGCGGGTCAGCTGGTTGCTGAATCCTATTTTGGAGAAGCCATACATAGGGGAAGGAATCCGACATTTATCAATCTAATTCCAAAATTTGATGGGGCTCAAGATATTAATAACTTCAGACCCATAAACCTCATCAACAGCTCTTTGCAAGCTCATTGAAAAAATCTTAGCAACTAGATTGGAGAAGGTGCCAGGCAGTATCATATCTCCAACATTTGCTCGTGGCCGAGTTTTTTTCTTTATTTTTGTTGTTGTGTGGGGGGAGATAGATCTTGGATGGAGCTCTACTAGTTCTTGAATTACACGGAAGACACAAAGCGAAAAAGAATGAGCATAATATGTTGGGTAGACTTAGAGGAGGCTTGTGATCAATGGATAGGAGTATCCTATCAAAACTAAGTGACCATGGGGTTTGGAAAAAATTGATGGATCAGAGCAATCCACATCGATGACAAAACCTTTGATCTCAAAGTATTCGACAAGATGATTCCCTGTTCTCCTTTTTGTTTGCAATATTTGCAGAGATTTTCACTAAAACTTGAAGGAATGTATACGAACAAAATATACTGCAAGGGTTTTAGGGAATTCCTGGGGAGTCTATTATTCCCCACCTATAGTATGCTGATGACTGGCTGATATTCCATGAACTGACAATTCAACAGGAAAGATGCAGTATGGTTGTTTTTGAACTGCGTTGGGTGGGCTTTATTTTTATTTTTTTATTTTTTATTTTTTTGAGGTTAGGGCTTTGAGTAATATGCAGAAACCAAAACTTTGGGTATAGGCAGAGAGGTGATCTTAGGCTTAGCATAGAGAATTGGTATGGATACCCTGTCAAATAAATATCTTGGGTTGCACCTGTACATCGGCAAACTCAGAAAAGTTTTATGGGACAGGATGGTTGAGACATTCGATTAGAAACTTGCGAGTTGGAACCACAGCTACATGTCTCTTGGGGGGGAAGAATCACACTAATCAAATCTACTATTTCGGACCCCTCAGTGTGCTGTCACTTTTTAATATGCCAATATCCATTCTTGACAAGATCGAGTGGCTTTAAAGATTTCCTATGGAGATCTTCTTCCAAACCTCACAAGCTCCACCTGACTAGATGGGAATCTGTATGCACACAAACGAAAGCAGGTGGACTTGGAATACTAGAATTGAAGGAATTTAATATGGGCCTCCTTGGGAAATGGCTGTGGAGGTTCACATAGAGAGAACCAGTTATGGAAGCAAATTATTGAACTCAATTATGGTCTACAAATGAATGGTACGTTAAAATGCTGTGATACGGAAATTTTATGTCAGGACAAATTCTCCAAACTCACGAGATTTAGCTTGGGTGAGGTTAACAATGTTTGCTTCTTGAAAGATTTATGGTCCAGACCAAATACTTTGGGGGATCGTTTGAGTTCCTTGGCTGCTGGTGCTAATGACTCTTAGCGCCTTTGTTTCTGAATGCTCACCAAAAGGAACAACCAGACACTGGGTGCCCCAAGTTTAGATGAAAACTGAGAAGTCATGAGATGAGGAATATTTATTGTTGATCGACTGTTTACAATCAGTCTGCATACCTTAAAACACAGAAAATGAGCTTCACAGATAGTAAGGCATCTTCTCTATTACATTTTTTTTGACAGGATCCTAGTGTAGGGAATCTCATAGAGGGTCTGTTCAATTCCAGCCCTACTAGTGCTCTGGTGTTCCTGGGGCTGGCCTCAATGGTGAACACCTCCAGCATAGGGGAATCCAAATTCCAATTCTGTGCATTATGCACAAAGACTGAGAAGGAAGTGTTAGCCACATGCTGTTACATTATGGTATGGCAACAGAAATTTTGTCTTTCTTCCTCGAACTTTGGCTTCTCATGGATTTGGCCCGTGTCAGTAGAAGGCCCGCTGCTATAGTGGTTTACCATGCCGATGCCACTCAAAAAGGATTTTGATCTTATGGAGCCTTCTTATTGATGCAATTCTGTAGCCTTTATGGGGAGAAGAAACAGTAGAATCTTTTAACGCTCTGCTTACGGGCATGCAAGAAATTGGGTTCTGAGTCGAATGAAGAATGGGTCTTCATTTGAACTTGATCTGAACGTATGAATTAAGAAGTTCATTTTAATTTACTCAGGTCCTGCTGGCTGCTGAGTCGAATGAAGCAGAGGTCAAAGCTCTGCTTACAGGCATCAGGCAAATACTGCTATAATGGTGATCTGTGGTTAGCGAAGGGAACTCCATGAACATAATTGCTTTGGCTACAAAATAATCAAAACATCCATGGATACTTGTAAACATCTTCAATGAAGTGTTGAGATGTGCTGACAGGATGTATTTAGACATATTTACAGGATGCAAATTCTTTTTCTAATTCCCTTGCCAGAGAAGGGTCCAAGGAAATTCTCTCACGTTCCCTAACTGATTTTGTGCCTTCTTTGTTTTCAGCCATTTTAACAACTAAATTTTGTCAATGGGCACAATTTATGAACAAATAATCTTGTTGATTATTCAGAAAAATTGTTGAATAGTGTTTCGTTCTGCATCTAATGGGTCTTAACAATTTTCATTTATAAGTTCAACTTGCTGTTTTCGAACTTAACTAGAAACTACTCTTCTAAAGCTCCCTTCTCACCATGTCCCAAGTTAACGTGCTTGTGTTTTTGATGTTTCAGGTGGGAACTGCATTTTCTGCTCTCCTAACCAATTCAGGTGCGGATTTTTCTCCTACAGGTTACCAATCAGGCATGATTGATTCTTATGGAACGCAAGAAATTGGGCTCAGATCAGGTTCTGCTTATTCATATGGGCGACCAGATGATTATCCTGGAGGGTTCAGACCCATGTTGTCTGATCTAAACCGTCCACCCCGAAGGGACAATCCTCATGGAAGCTATGGTAGATATGATCCACAAATTAGTACCGACTTGGAGAGACCCATTAGTTCCTTTCCTACAAGTCCTCAAAGTCATTCTGGAGACCCTAGGTTATTTCTATGTAGCTTGCAGGATGCAAGGGAAACTGGGTATCAGAAGCCATATGGTGGTTTTGGAGGTCCTCCCTCTTCATATTCAGGTATTAACTTCCTGCTCTTCCCTTTGTTTCATCTTTCCTCTCGTATGGAAGCATGTTTATAAATATTTGAAAGCCTAGAGTCAGAACTTGGAGTCACAAATTGGATGCGTGCAATATTTCTGAGTAAAAGACTACAATATATTAGAAATATAGATCTATGCAATTGGTATGCATTGTGTCTGTGGGTTTTCTTATTGGTCAAACGGATCAAAATATAATAGGTGACATTTAGAAGTGGTTATGATCTATATGTTTAATTAAAACCCCTTTCCAAGGTAGTTCGCATATAATTTTGAAGGACATTTTTGTGCAGTTAAAAGTGAAATTGAATCCCCCGATTTTGTGGCCAGTTTTTGCCTCTCTGCTCACCATCATCTCCTCTCTCTCTAGCCACCTCATATCTTCTCTATCTATACACTCTGTCTCTTTCCCCCTACTGGCATCCATCTCTCTCTACTCACCATCCCTTCTCTCTCTCCATACCTGCACTCTCTCACTCAAGCCTTACAGTCACTAAAACCTGTCCGCCATTGCTGAATAGCATGCTTTCTTCTCCGCTTCCTCTTGTCGCATTCCCTTTGTCACTTTTTACAATCCCCTTTCCCAAACCAGCAAAGAAGACTAGCAAAGCCTCCTACCATTCTCTATCTTCTTCACCTTTCGGGCTCCCCAATCTACTTCTTCACTTTCTTGCCCCTAGTATCTCCACTTACAGCTCTGCCATTCCTCATTCTCCTCATTATTGCACGTTGGCCTAAACCTAATCCCACCCCCACAAAAAAAAAAAAAAAAGCGGAAAACTGTTCTTGAAACCAGATGTCAAGCTATCCCTTGTAGCTCCACTTATAGTTCCATGATTTCTCATCCCCTTTAACATCGTACCTAGGCCCCCAACCTCAAAAAAAGGGGAGAAAACGAAGAAAAGAAAAAAGAACAAAGCAAAATGGACTCGAAAACCGGCAAAAGGAGAGAAGAAAGTAGAGCTTAGCCACTTTGAGAGAGAGAGAGAGAGAGAGAGAGAGAGAGAGAGAGAGAGAGAGAGAG